AGGGTCTCGGCACAGCCGCCTGGTGATACTTATTGTGCAGCAGCTTGTTACTACCATGCAGTAGCCCTGTGTCATGGTATGTGCCAGGGGATGCTACTGCGCAGTAAGCATCTTGTCTAGACGCACCCGCTAATCCCCAAATTCTAACTGCTCAGCCAGTAAATCATACTACCTTAAAGTTAACTTGAACTCTGTACCTCTGTTTCCCCATTTAGTATAAGGATTCAGCACTTCATGGTGCTGTTATGAAAATTACTTAATATATGTAAAGCTTATGAACAACTTATAAATGCAGTGAGTTGCTGCATTTATACTATGTATTACTTTAGAGCCCAGATCCTATTGCTTAGGAGCTTGAAGACGTTCTACAAAAAGCAATTTGTGTTCAAATCAGGAGTGCATGAAACATGGAGTACCCCATACACTGAAAATCAGTGACCCATATCTATCACCCATACTCTCTGATAAGGAATATTCATTATAACTGACAGCAGCTACCTCCAGACAACTAACCATATTCTAGGTAAATACATGTGTAGACACACTTAGTGCTTATGTGCACCTAAACTTAATGCACCTTTGCTTTAGGCACATTAAAATGATTCAGGCATGTGTTTACACGTAGATGCACTAATGCACATTAAGATGCATTAAATTTAGGCGTTAATAACTAAGTCGCATTAGCACATGTGCAGACACGCTAATGCGCATTAACGCAGTGTCTACACATGTGCTAATGCAACTTAGCTATTTGCGCCTAAATTTGACACCTGCTTTATGCAGGTATCAAATTTAGGCTAACATAGCCTTAAATCACCATTTTTAAGGTGCATTAAGAGTGCACATGTGTAGATGCATGCCCTTAATGTGCCCTAAAAATGGTGATTTTAGGCTAAGCTCCCTTAAAAGAGGCACATGTAGATGCGCCTACTCTGACACTGTATAAGGAGGGAGCACATCAGATGACTGAAATTCCAAATGTATTTCCAAAAGCAAGTTTAATATGTTAAAGCAATATGCAGAATTGTTATACTATTTTGCAAGCCAAAGAACTTTCTTAATGTGAGGCTATTTATTTTATTATTAATATACAGCATGATACTTTTATAAATGCACTTAGTGTAATAGGTATTACTTAAATTTATGCCTAGGACAAACAGATTCTAAAACTAACAAAATTTAAATACCACTATTGTTCAGAATTGAGATGTTTTAGAAGAATCAGAATTTATTAATGATTTTGCCCAGGCAGCAAAAAGACTACATTAATCAATACTTTGCATATCCACATTGTAACTAGAACAGTGGTCTGCACATGTATGCACATTATAAATTTGGCCAGGTGTTTCTGGAAACAGAATTTCTGAAGATGATAACAGTGTACTAACATCTAGCAAAATAAAAGGTTTAACACATTTGTCAGATTTATTAAAATGAAAATACAGCTTGGATTTATTCATTTTTTTCATTTAAATCTACACAAAAACACTGCTGTGTCACATGTATTTTATTTAATTTTGACATTTGTCAAAATTATTTACTAAACACAGGAAAGCTCACCACCTGCCCCTTATTTGCCTGGCACAGGTGGCAGAAGGGCACTGACTGGAGCTTAGCACTGATTTGTACTAATTAATCTTGAACTCCCCACTGCAGTGGTATCCAAAACTGTAACAGTATAACAACATCCATAAAACCAAACATTTATTTCATAGATTATTTTCGTGCAGTTCAAGAATGATGCTACTCTGAGACTGGAAATGTGACTTTGCAAAAACAGCAAGTCAAACACAGTTTGAAATATAACCATCAGGTTCACGCCTCCATCTCTTTCTTGGTTTCTTTTTCCCAAATAACCTTTAAGGCCCTACATGAAGAACAGTGCTAAGAAAACTCCAACTGGAACCCCCCCCCAAAAGCAAAACAAAACACACAAAAAACACCTATTGATGCCTTGATTTCCTACCTCTTGTAGTTTCCCTGTTCCCATATGCCACAGCATATACTGCAACTTTGGAACCCATTAAAAGTTTTTAAAGAAGGCAGATTTTTAAAAGTAGTTCAAAATCTAATTAACATTCTTGAACTCAGGTATAAAAGGGTCAGGAAGTGCTCCCTGAGCCCAGGCACATGACTTTGCTGGAAGATGTTAGGCACTCAGCCAACTACTCTGCCTCTCCTAGATTTGAAACCTGTGCAGCATAAACAGCAAACATTAATCAAGGGTCCTTCCTAGGGCTGCTTTTGCAGAATAACAGAGAGACCCATTGATTCATACCTTCAAAGCACCTACATAGTGAAGAGAGGAAAGGGTAACAAAGAGCCAGCCTGCTGCAAATACCTGCTACAGGAAAAGAAGCACTTCAACAGGAAGCGAACCCCTAGAGGTCACACGAGCCATAGAGATCTGCAAATAAGAGAGCCACAGAGTTCTGCACTGATGACTGCAATTCAGTCCTACAGAGCCCCCTAGCAGCCTCAGCTGCCTTAAGCTGGTGTCTCATTTCTGCCATTCACTTGCTGTGGGTGTACTTTCTGCACTATTTCTGAAGGTACTTTGTCCCTTGCATTTTAAAATATCAACTACATTCAAAGGTTGTTCAATACAAGCCTCTTTTAAAGCAGATAAAATGCAAGAAAATTAAATTTAGTGATAGGGAATTAGCAGTAGGTACTTGCAACAAGACCTCAACATTTCTTCACATTTGTTGGAGAAAATCTCCTCAGTTTGCCAGTTGGCTAAATAACTTATTTTCTAATACTATAAAACAGAATTAGTACATTTACTTTGGGAAAAGATGCAAAAGTACACTAATTTTAGAGGCAGAGGCCCTGACTGTACATGGTGCAAACATAAAAAAACCCCTCTCATCCCTTCACAAGCCTGGGCTCAGGCTTTTTTTTTAAATCAAGATTTTAGGCTACCTGTAATTAAATTTGGGCCATGGCTATCGAGATCATCTGCAAATCCAATTAATGCTGTATACATGGTCAAAAAAACTGGAAGGGCAGACATTTTTTCATTTTGTATTGCTCCTGATCTTATTGCTCAAGAAATATTAAGCTTTATTTTATGCAAGAGTACTGGACATCTTAAGTATTAAAACTGTCAGAATGCGTAATAGTTTAAAGGGTGAGTTGCTAACGTGATAGTTCACATCTTCTAAATTGTGAATGGTACATTGCAAAGCACAAAAGGAGTGTTCAGCTTACGTGCATTTTGTTCCGTCCCACCTCATTTTTTCCCTGCAATTTTTTTTCAGTTCCCAAGTATTGCAGTTCACATAAAGCCTTAATCTACATTATGTTGTGGCAGAACATCCAATACAAAGAAGTATCAGCTGGAGACAGCCCCCAACTAATATGAAGTCAAGCAAGTACGATTCCCCCACCTAAATGCGCACACACTATTGAGTGTCTAACAAATGATTCAATATGCTTAGCCTGTACTTGCTAAGAAGCAAAAGGGATCCCTATCCCCATCAAGAAAGTCACCACAAAAACATGCAACAGAGGAAGAATCCTCTTGCTGGGCCCCCTATAGGAAGGAAGTGCCATGCAGCAGTTTTCCGTTGATCTCAAAACCATCACTAGAGCTTCACTGATCTGAAGCCTGCAAGTTTCGCTGCATGGACTTCAGAAATGCTTGTAAAAAAATATAATTTTTGTATCAGTTGTGTGTTAAACCCCTCTCTAGATGTTCATTTAACCCTAGTATTTTACTTTGATTACGCACATTTTGACAAAGCTTTGGCCAGGATGATCTAGATGGGGATGGTCCTGCTTTGAACAGGGGGTCGGACTAGGTGACCTCCTGAGGTCCCTTCCAACCATAACTTTCTATGATTTTATTAACCCATTAGAATGGTTGCATTTTCCATTTGCAAGTGTATGTATAGAAGGATCTGTCCATGTGAACAAATGAATGAGTTAACTTAGACGAGGGATATCAAAGATAGGGGGCCAAGGCTGGATCTAGTCCATGAAGCCCTACCATTTGGCCCATGGTGCTGCCTCCAGGGTCTCTCACTGGACCTGGCATGCTGTGTGCAGCGTGTGCCTGGATCAGTCCCCTATGCCAGACTGGGCCAGACCCAGCATCATACAGAATCCCGTGCCCAAAGCTGGTCTGTGGGCCCATATAGTCTGTGGACCAGCTCCACACTGCTTATTTAGCCTGAGGACCAGTCCCATGTTACTGCTGGATGAGTTTGACACCTGCGACTTAGATGATTATGCCTTGTAAGATGCTGAACACCTTCTGCTCTCCTGTAAGTCAACGAGAGTTGAGATCACTCAATGCCTCAATCATGTTATTGGAAAAAATGTGAAATGGACTAGTTGTGCCCAAGATACAGCTAGCCAATCCTTGGGACAACAAATACCAGTACACCGTTTGAGACCAGAGGACCCATACACCAGAATATAAGAGAAGTCAGATATTGCTTTGCTCAATGTCTCCCCCAAGAGAACATGATAACCATGCTAGCAATTATTTTCTCAACACTTACGTTACAAAGAGAGTACCAGTTAATTACTGGACTTGTGATATAATGTTTTTGTTTCCTTCTGGTTTTGGTTCTAGTCTGCCCTCTCCCAAGATGCCTACAACATGATGTTGCATGTAAATTAAAAGAACACATAAATGCAGCATCCTCTTGTTGATGAAAAACTACACCAGGAGTTCTCTGACTTTCTCATATGGTCCGTATGTTAGCAGGACCGCATTCGGGGCCCAGATCTTCAACCAGTAGGAAGTGTGCAGATTTCCTCCCTGCTCAAAACAGACCAGTGCAAACCAGAACAGTTGCAGGCTTGGAAAATAAGTGCTTACACATTTTAGCTGTCTTGGCTATGCTCTTCGTTTTTTAATGGAAAAAGGTAATCAAGGCATCTACTTTAGCTCTTCAAGTTGTCTTCCCTGATTTGGTTTCCTTTTGCCTGTTCTGTCACATGGTCCGACCAAACGCGTGGTCCTCTCCTCCCTTGCTGTCACTGCCATGAACACTCCTTTCCTGCAGAGCTACAACTTTAGTTCCACTCTTGTTCCTCAGGTTGGCTCCTATTTCTGCTATTCCTATAAAGAAGCAGTTCCTAGAAGAGACAGCTTTGCTCAGTACCCCAAATTGCTTCCAACTATTTTTACGTGCACTGTATCTTGGTTTTGCATTGTAAAGAGATGGAATACATATAAAAATAAGAAATGTTAGCACAGCTCTCAGCAAACCACTGGCACTTGTTTCATAGAAAAGTTTTGAATTGCTGACTACATAAATAAATGGTAGCATACAAACTGAACAGTCCGTATAAGATGCCTCCATAAAACTGGCTGACTTTAATATGAAGACCCTACAGGGAAAAAAAGTCTACAATTTTCTCCTCCAGCACCTGGCTGCAACGACAGCATTCAAACTGATTGCTACCAAACCCTAAAACTTTTTCATATATTGTGACACTCTCCAAAAATGCCTCTCTATGGCCAAGAGAAGAACTGAAGCAATTTCAGGGGTCATTAACAATACAGAAACACACTGTGTTGTCATCATCTGTGGTATGAAAGTCTGTGCTGCACTACTGCTCATACAAAGAGATATTGAGTTGGTCAACAGAATGGATATTTTAGAAAACAAGTTGCTAAAATTCTGCAAAAAATAGTAATAGCCTATATTCCTCTCAGAGACTGCCTGAAGAATTTTCTATTTATTTCTGTTTTCAGTACTCTTGTTTTAAAAGTTTGTACCCAGGATCTCCATTCTCTTTCCATTCCTTCAGGCTACGTGAATTATTTGTAAAAATAAAACTCTGCCCTTTACAATTAAGGCAACAAGACCCAATTTCTAGTTTAACCTTACTAGGATTTTCCAGGATTATACATATTTATCAAAACAACATGCGTGTGTGCGTGTGCATGTGCATACCTGTACATAAAACTATGCTGTGGTAGAATCATTTTCTGAATGACACCAGCGTGGCTTCCTTAGTGTGTTATAGTATGCGATATCAATAGCCCTCTAAAGCTCGCATGTATGTTTTCAAGGCAAATCATGAAAAATACATTTATATTAGGCAGGAAAGCAAACAACACGGAAGTGGGAACTGAAATTTTTCCAAAAGAGAATAGTAGACAAGTATAGCTTGGGTTAAAAACAATGTTCAATATAAAACCTTAACATAATGTTAACTTTTAATAAATAATGTGAACACGTATATATGTGATTTCATTTTTTAACTGAACAGGAAAACTAACTTTATATTGCCTTGTCACAGCATTAGATTTAAATTAGAAATCACAGTATTATGTTTAAATTGATGGTCACAATTGGTGGTCACAGCAAAGTTTGAACTGTAAGTCGCCCAGGAACTTTCTTCTAACATGGTTCTCCAAAATTATCTTCTAATCTGAACTAAGAGGAAGCTGTCTTTAATTTTTTTAATATTACTATTATTGGGTATGTTTAGTAAAAGGGCATGCTATTTTGGTTTGAGGGACAGTGAGGGTACTGGGGGTTCATGTTCCAGACTGTCTGTGCCGAGTTGGATCAGCCCCCACGCTTCTCTGCAAGACAACTGCAGATTCCACTCTGTGGTTTATGAATATAGATACAGATGAAAGCGAAAAATACTATAAACGTGCCATATGTTTTATCTGTCTCAAATGCTAATTTCAGGGGTTACTTTTTGTTTCCATTCCTGCCAAAGCAGTTCTTGATTTATTTCTACTATTGCACTAACTACATAATTTTTCCCACTTTTATTTCACTGTGTATACCTGATGTTAGTATGTTTCTACGTGGGAGCCTTTTGAATACTAATATGTAGAGATGGAGGTTAAAAGCTTGCTTATACAAATCTGTTTAAAAATAAGTTTGTTCTGTGGTGGTTAATAGATTTCATAGACATTAGCGCTGGAAGAGACCTCGCAAGATCATTGGGTCCAGCCCCTTGCACAAGGGGCAGAAACTCAGCTGGGGTCAGATCACCCCAGCAAGGTAAGCATCCAAGAGTTTCTTAAAGGTATCCAGAGTCGGTGCTCGCACCACTTCTGGGGGGGGAGTCTATTCCAAACTCTGGAGACTCAGATGGTAAAGAAATTTTTTCCTTATGTCCAGTCTAAAACGGTCTACCAGCAGTTTGTTTCCATTAGACCTCGTCTTCCCTCGGGGTGCCCTGCTGAATAGATATTCTCCCAGTTCCTGATACACACCCCTTATATACTTATAGGCTGCCACCAAGTCACTCCTGAGCCTTCGCTTCCCCAGGCTGAAGAGTCCCATGTCCCTCAGCCTCTCCTCATAAGGCCAGTTCTCTTGACCTCTAATCATGCACATAGCTCTCCTTTGGACTAT